GTTTATTTTGGACATAAGTTAACACCAAATCCGCACGATTGGTCAAATTATATTGTTGATATTTTTGTATCATTTTTTGTGCATTGATATTAGATAAAATGTGATGTTTTAAGAAGCTAGATATAGACTCATATGGGCACTGAGATTAAGTAATTAGAATTTTCTGCATTTAAATAGAAAACAAAAGCCAATATTGTCAAGCTCAAAATTTGATTCCAAGAGACTTTTTTCCTGTTTTAATACTGATAACTACCATTCCAAAAAAAATCAAAAAAAATTTCTGTTGCAATTAGTTTGAGGTTTGGGCTGTTTTAGCGTAGGGTGACTAGACTATAAAAGCGGAGATATGTAATATCCATTACTTTATCCATTCCGTAATATTAATTAATTATAACTGTAAACCGGAACGAGAAGAAGCATTTATAAATCAGTCAGCCATGCAGCACAGAGTTGGAATGCATCGTGCCTGTAAAAACCATCATTACAAAAATACGATAATGATGATGATGATTTTATACAGTTGTGTGACCGCACAACGCACAACTGTGCGATTTTGTACAATTTGTTGATCAATATTACGGAATGAAAATATTATGGAAGGCTCGTATGCAATAATGTACACTGTATTTATTATTGTAATTTCTCATCACAATAATTCAAACTATGTACAATTTTGCATTGCATGCAACCACAGAATTACAGTGACCATTAGACTGTCAAGAATGGATTTGGCTCCTAAATACGTAACAGAACAGGTTACTCCGGAGCAGAACACACATTTATTGCATTTTGTTATATCCCTACTGAGGGAAGTGTTTTTTATGATCACTGTAATGAAGATTTATTCCAAATTTTAGAAGATTCCCTTGGTAGATATAAAAGCATGGGTGATGTATATGTTATCGGTGATATGAATGCACGCACTGGAAGCAGGCAGGATTATATAGAATTAGATACATTACATGATAGTTTAGTACATAATTTAGAAAATGTGGTTACTTATAATGTTGAAACTGTCAGCACTTAGCGTAAGAATATGGATAAGGGGGTAAACACTTTTGGCCGTAAGCTTATTGACTTGTGCAAGTCATCAGGTCTGCGTATAGTTAATGGGCGGCACCCAGATGACGATACTGGTACATATACATTTTTTAATAATAATGGTAAAAGCACGATTGATTACTTGTTGGTTGTAAATGCGACAATAGACAATATACTTAAGTTTGATTCTGGTAAATTTAACATGTTTTCTGATCACTGTCCAGTTGCGTTTCATATATGTATTGGCAATTTTTTAGATACTTAAATTGTAAATGAGTTGGCTGATTACAATGCCATGTACAGTAGAGGAACCTGTACGTCTGTGAAATGGAAAGGCGAGAATACTATGCTAATTTTAGATAAATTAAGTGAGAACTGTGAGTTAATTGATGAACAATTGAATGTTGATTTAAATAACCAAGATGCAGTTTATGAATGTGTGAATGATATAAGTAGAATATTAAATGATTGTACATTACCTTTTTGTGAGTGTAGAGCTACCCCTCTGAGAAACTACCGCGATCACCGCACTAAAACTGTTGTTATTGAAGATAAACAGTGGATAACACCTCGGTGCAAAGATCTATATACTGAATACAGAAATTCGTTGATTAATTTTAACCGGGATAAATCAAATCAAAATTACAATATATTAATAACCGCCAAACGTAATTACAAAAGGTTGGTGTTTAAACTTAAAAGAGATTATAAACGGTATGAGGGCGACATGCTGGTCCTTTTGAAAAGGAATGATCCAAGAAATTTTTATAGTATCTTTAATAATCGGAAGTCGAACAGAGCTATGAATACACTCACAATAGATGACTTCTATAGACACTTTAAATATCTGGCGCAAAAGGAGAATGATGGCGCTGACCAACATGTTCCTAATGTTAATATAGAGTCCGTTTATGAAGATCTTGATTCTAATATCACAACAAAAGAAATTGTTAAAGCCATTGAAAACCTGAAATCAAACAAAAGTTGTAGTGAAGACTTAATCATAAACGAAATTTTTATTCAAGGAAAGCATATTCTGGTGCCATATTTGGAACGGTTGTTTAATGCTATTTTTAGATCTGGGTTCTTCCCTGAATCTTGGTCACAAGCATGTACTGTTCCTGTTTTTAAGAAAGGCTGTATTAACGACACTAATAATTATCGTGGTATATCACTTGTAAGCTGTTTTGGTAAATTATTTACATCAATCTTGAATAATAGAATTATGACATGGGAAAAAGAAAATTGTATAATAACAGATGCTCAGTTTGGTTTTAGAAAAGGCAGTTCAACCATTGACGCCATATTTGTTTTACAAACATTAATTAACAAGAAATTGCGTAAAAAAGAGAGACTTTACTGTTGCTTTATAGATTTAAAAAAAGCATTTGATTTTGTTAATAGAGGAAAACTGTGGAGTAAATTAATACACCAAGGTATTCGTGGAAAATTTTTAAAAATATTATTATCTTTGTATGATAATGTCAAATCCTGTGTAAAATTTGAGGGTCAATTAAGTCATTGTTTCCCTAATTATACCGGTCTCTTACAAGGGGAAATATTGTCACCTGTGTTGTTTTCTTTGTATGTGAATGATTTTGAAATTAATTTTATTAATGATAATTGTCCAAGTATTGATTTACAGATGCTTAACCTTTTCCTGCTAATGTATGCTGATGATATGGTTTTTTTCGCTGATAGTCCAGCTGCATTGCAAAACATGTTAGATTCTTTACACAGTTACTCTAGAAAATGGGATCTGGAAGTCAACATTGATAAAACAAAAGTCATGGTTTTTAGAAACGGGGGAAACATAAGAAATAATGAAGTGTGGAAATATAATAATGAGAACATAGAAATTGTTGACTGTTTCAAATATTTGGGAATGTTTTTTAATTATAATGGTAAATTTTATAAAACCCAAAAGCATTTAGCGGACCAAGGAAGAAAGGCTTTATTTTCATTATCATCCTCTTTAAAGAACCATTGTTTGAATTTGGAAACCCAATGCTCTGTCTTTGATATTTATGTCAGCAGCATCTTAAGCTATGGTGCAGAAATATGGGGGTTTCACAAAGCTCCTGATATAGAGAGAGTTCATTTGAATTTCTGCAAAAAAGTCCTTAGAGTATGTAAATCTACATTCAATGATTTAGTTTATTGTGAATTGGGTAGACTACCATTAATTGTTACAAGAAAGCTAAAAGTATTCAAATATTGGTTGAAGTTGACGAAATCTGATAATTTGATATTAAAAACTTGTTATGATGAATGTGTCAACGTGAATGATCCGTGGATTTGTAACATTAAGAATGAATTAACTGCCCTAGGTCTTGGTTATATTTTTGAATCGAATCTACCATTGGTAAACACTTTTGAAATTATTGAACACAGATTGAAAGATGTTACTAAGCAAAATATGTTGGCAAAGATAGCAGCTTCATCAAAAGGTAGACTATATCAATATCTTATAGACAGTCATAGTATTCAGTTTTATCTCCGTAAATATATTGAAACAAAATACAAATATATGTTAACTAAATTTAGAACGTCGTCTCATCAACTGAATATCGAAAAGGGTAGACACAATAATATCATTCGCAGAAATAGAAACTGTAGCAAATGTGATTTGGGAGACGTCGAGGACGAATTTCATTTCATTTTTGTATGTCCTTTTTATAATGATTTGAGGTTAAAGTATATAAAGAAGTATTATTATAAGAGTCCCTCTGTTTACAAACTTGTCCAACTTTTATCTGTAAATAATGTCAAAGAGTTGTCAAATCTAGGTAAATATTTATATCTAGCCACTAAGCGGCGAAATTGATTAATTAGCTACACGTATTTATAATTCTTGTGCTTTTGTATTATGTTCTTTGTTTAGTTTGCACTTGTATGCTTATAGTCACTCTCCTATAACATATATACATGTATGATATATCATGATTACTTTGTACCTATAAGTCTTAAGACTTTTGGTGAATAAAGAACTTGACTAACTTGACAGGTAAATAACATTTTGATGAGTGACCGCAGATATACCTGACCTGTGCCTGACGGGTACAGCTGATATGTGATACCGTATACCGTTGTGAAAACACAACTGGACGTTTAGTATTTGTTATTTGCATTCGTTTTAATCTTAAGGTATCCTTCACCTGGTTTTCACACCTTGGCAAGTTACGTAAGTGTCCCGGGCGGGGAAAAACTACGGTCCAGCTACAAAGTGGCTATGTTTACCTGTGTTGCCAAGATTGTGTTGTAATTTTATATTTTTCGATTCTAAATTTAAGAAAGTATAGACAGAAATATAAGCGTGTAGATGAAGCTAGAATAGGGAAACAAACTAAAAAATCAAGTTTACATGTTTAAACACTTAACCGTATATATTGTTAAGCCATTCCTCAATTTACATCGTTCAATTTTTTTTATCGTTCACCCACCGTGCACACATCGTGCGCACACCGCACATCGTTTAACGTTGTGCGATCCAACAACTGTACTTTTGAAGGGTGTCCACGTAAATCGTTTCTTGGTTTATCCTTTGCCAAGTTTCATCGATCTTCAGTACTCCGTTATTTTTGCGACAAAATGATTTTTTTGTGTTAAAGTTAAATTCATTATTTTAATCGTTGTGTTCGGAGGTTTAAGTCACAGAGGTAGCCTCTTTAAACGATCTTTTTAACCAATTTTGACAAAAACACTCCTACCTTCGACGATTGTACAGATAGACAGAGATTCCAGTTATCATAGTAGAGGAACGTATACAACCTTAACGTTAGTATGCGATGTCTTTTTTTTTGTTTTCTGTGATCTAAGTAATAAATCGAACTATCAAAAAAAAATACAATCATGTGATTTTGAATGATATACACTTCGCTTGATAGATTATTCATTATATGCATATTAATTTAATTATATGTTTGTGTGATAAAGATAATTTCGGAGGTTTGACTCACCTGTACCGATTGTACATCCAATAATGACGTCACGTTGCCCTTTTCAGCGTATGTCATCAATAGGTCACAGGTCATTTGCTCACGGTTGTGGTGACATTTTTTACACAGATTGTATCTCTTACAAACTTTGATACACTGTAACACTCCAACAGCATGAAGCTGTTTAAAGGATTTGTAGTATGCGTTCGATTCCTGATCCACGTGTGCGCTACTGGCACACAGACCATGTCCGTCAACAAGTAAAACTGTTTTAAAAATGAATGTTGCTGTGAGGATAAGTTTTCCGACTGCAAACATGATTATCTCACCCAAGTTTTAGGTTACATTCCTCGCTTAGTATTAAAGGGTTTTTATGTGTTTTCTATCAATAAGTATGTCACTTAGCGTTAATGTCTGCTTTCGCAATAACTCAATGATTTCCACCCTAGATGACGCAACGTATGTCGATAAGGTCTCGTTGGCCCTCTGTATCCGTGTGTCTAGCATAACACGTATTGTGGCGTGTTGTAATCGATTAGGTGAATACATCTGTATATTGATTTTCATGCATGCATGACTTGTGAAATTAATAACGTTTGATACTTTATGACTTTTTCTCCATTCTGATTGAAGATTGGGAGTGTATATACACATTTTGCTTGAAAGTACTTATTAACATGAAATATGTTAACTATTTATAATCAGTCAGTTATGTAGTTATTGTTTGAGAGAGGACTTGCTGTCAACGATATAAAAGTTCAAATAATCTACAGTTAAAGCGACTATATCGTTGTGTTGAAATGTTAACAGTGTTACCCGCTATTGACCAGTAGCTAGTAAGTCACCAAGCGAGTTCCAACTGTTCTCATTATAATGGTACTGGACGGAATGCTGTGCTGGGTGCCTCTGGCAAGGTATTTCAGTGAGATAGCACTATCATGTCAACATCAGAACCTCGTCATCGAGGCAACTATACCCGCATACGCTGCCTCCAAAAGAAATACACGCATGTGCACATGTAATTACTTAACATATCTGGATGCACGTCCTTAAATGACCTAATATTTTAACGTTAATAGGGCGTCAAACCCTATAAACACAAAACAAAACAAAATCTCATTCAAAATAAAATAATAAAAAAGATTTTTGTCAAAATCTAAACTGTCTTTTGTCAACTTTTTATTTATGTGTACACATGTGTACAAAAATACAATAAGAATGTGTGTCCCAACCTGTTGAGGCATTAGAGTTCAATACAAGATGATTTGCAATAACAGTTTTTCAAACCATTTTTCTAGTTTTTTAGATGTTCTAAAGATTATCTACAAAAGGAATACACACAACATATTATTATTATTATTGTTGTTAAACTTTGCAGTTAACAATAAAGTCATCAAGTAGTCACCGTTTACGGTGAACCTTGAAGTAAATCAATGTTAATGTAAACTTTAAAACAACCCTAAACATTATCTTCTGTCTATGACTGTCCGTATTTTATATTAACCAACCAATTACCCTACAATTAGTACCCTGTACCGTTGGCAGCAACATAGTAAGTATTAGATAAGACCTTGGTACGGCTACACCTTATGGATACAATGACCGTGCAGACGAGGTAGGACATTTGTCTAGTCCAGGGTGCAGTCATATTAATGTGTTGCCTTCGTTCACTCCTCGAAAGAGACGTAAACGTATTCATGAACATTGACATTACAATAGTCCAATCATGTTGCATTAGAAAACCTAATGGACAATATAGAGAAACAATTGGATCTTCACCCTTTGTGTACTATATTGTAATCGCGTCCTTTCTCTATACATAACGAACTTTTACAAGATGAATCTACAAAAACGATTCCTGGTGAAATTTTGAAACTAGCTAGGAGACTATGGAGGGTGTGGCACAAATTCGACTCTTCCAGCTTGTTCGAACCGATAGTCATGACTGTAGGGTAACGAAGGGTTTCATGAGAGTCGCATTCTCCAACAAGGGGATATCTGTATCTGTATCTGTAAGATTCATTTTTTTTTTCAAATTCGTCAATTGAATATATGTTTGTATGTCAGTAACATCAATAATATCCTGCATTAAAAGTCCGTCGAAGCTAACATCAACCGTATTACAGTTATAAAAGCATATCCGACATGTCTTATAGTTATTCGTAACCCATTGCTTCCAAGCTCTTCAACTGCAAGCAAACACAACAACAGCTGACTTTAGATGACAGCATAACAACCCTCTCCTCCAGCGCTTCTTAGTCCACGTGCCAATACAACTGTGGTTTGGCTGTAAATATAGAACTGGCAATCTAAATATAAACCGTGATCCAATGTTACGAGAACCTTTCCTGAAGGGTCCTTGGTATCGAGAGACTCCTGCTATACACCACGAGGTACTGGTGGATTCTGTTGAAAGGCACACCAGACAATGTAAAGTATTTGTTTGCAAAAACTATTACATCACATTGTTGTACCCGCTTGCAAAAAAACTGGGCTTGTTGTATTTTCCAAATTTCCGAATGACGGATTAGAGGTTCATCACGCTTCTGTGTTACAATCTTTCCGAATACCTAAAGATAGAGGTACTCACAGTAAGAGATATATACACATTGATAGATATAAATAAGTATACGGATTTAGGGTAAGCAACCATTGTTTGTGAACTTTTTTTGAAACGTACATTAAGCGTATATATGTATGTTTTAGATTCCGTGTCGTGATGTTTATGAGGCCAAGTGATGTTGACAAGAAATAACCCGAAGCGATTTTTTTAAACCAATCTTGAAGTGATGTTAGAAAATTCATTTTTGTTAAAAAGTCAGCAATATAACCAACGTGTCGATAAATAAAGTATATACTGCACATGCTATATGTTAATGGCTTATAAATCATTGCATAATCATTACCGATGAAAGTATAAAAAGAGCTCATCCCACCCCTTCCCTGTATTGGGGCGTCAAACGAGGATTTCTTAGATCACACAAGTTATATTTGAACATCTATATTATTTTGGTTCACTTTTATTTTCTTTCTTCATTTATTTGTATCGGTTTGCTGACGTATTGCTGATAGAACAGGACGATCTAGAGCCTATGCCGTCTGGACATCCTTCTTTTCTTTTCAATGTAATACATTGTAACTTACAAGTTGTGTACACGGATCAATTGCTTCATAATGAAAACTTATGTTATTCAGTAGATACAGTTGATCATATTCAGGTTCATTTATAGCCGTATATTGATTATGTGTTCATGATATATGTCAAGCGGGTAGGTCGGTCGAGACACTGTTAATACAAATGCACGAAACTTTGTCTATTGTTGCATGACTAATGAAAGTCCCCGGGGCTAATTTTTATATCATGTATGAGTTCGTCTGTTTGTATCAAACAAATTTATTCAAAGTTATGAAGCAGTAAACTTAGCTGACTTCCTGTTAAACCCCAAAGAACTCGGTTTCCAGGTGTAGGAATGAAGCCTGATACCCTTATACTTACATGAAACAAACACAAAACACAGACACAGAAACAAAAAACGTTTGTTGCATAGCAACTATACAAACAAATACACAACGAGAATTTTATCCAGATCTGTATGCGTACTGGCTTCTATGTTTCGCTCTGATTTTCATACGCTTCAAGGTAAACAGGTGGAGTATGTCAGATACGGAATCCTTATGCGTCATGTGCTTTCAATAATTTACAGAATGAGCTTTAAAAGCAATTCTCACACCAAGAAAACTCGATAAATGCAACTAAAAAAGAACTATAATTTACTAACAAAAAGAAGCCTGGCGTCATCGAATCATAAATAAAGCGAGATACACATATACCTAAGTGAGGGTTGTTCTCAGATGAAGGTTGTCGGGCTATTTAAATGATTTAGTATCCTTTTCATCAGATTATCAGATTTTTTCAGATTTGGTAAGACCACAACTGCGTATTTGGAAAATGTTCAACGTTACTAGTGAAGGAAACTTCAGGTATGCAATGTATTACGTCTGTATTTGAGCAGCTCTACAGTAATCTGCTGCATAGTGGGGGATTCAGAGAGTGCAAAATGACGTCATTGAATGGCTGATAAAGATCACCGGGCACTGAGAGAAAAGACAGAGAACTCGCACATCAAATGAAGATTCTACTCACAGAAACAAATTGTTTGGCTCAGAGGGTGAAAACAACCAGCACTTTCCAAATGAGCAGAAATCGTAAATATTATGAAATATGGGTGAACCAGCACTATCAAGACCTCATCTGTTGTTAGATTTGTTCCTGACACAAAAGCCAGACTAAACATAATGTTTGGATTCAGTACAGCACGACACCAAATGATAATAACCCAATAAAAGATTACTACTGCCAATGCCCAATTGATCAAAGAACTATGGGAATGTTTGCTCATACATCAAGTATACATTATTATCTTGGCTGTTTTAGGATTACTTGAAATCCAAAACAGTTGCACCAAAGGGCTAAGATGTTCCGACAAATCTTGAAATAAGTTGTTTTCTTGTGAATCTAGAATCACCAGTTTGAAAACAAACTCAAAACCTCGCATCTTTGTTTTTCTTCCTCCCTTTTCCAAGTCTGCCATTCGAACACATACAGACCCTGGACCGTTTTTCTTTACCAAAAGTATGTTGCGTTTGCGTTTGCAAATTAAAAAGAAAATAAATATACAAATAAATAGATAAATACATGAAATAATCGGTTGGAAGTTTAGCAATGACATATCTATATTCGAATATTTGGGCTGCGTCATGTGCTGATTGATGGATGCAAGTCTATACACGTACCTTAATATTGGCCAGTGAAATTATAAGTGGAAATGTATGTAAGTCCTGCGGTCGACTCGCAATAGTTATCGGGGGTACTTCCTGCGAGGTTCGAGAGGTACAAGCTAAGGCCCCTGCCAACATTGACAATATATAGATTTTGATTACGTCATTGAAAATCATTGAGACATAGCAATTTTACTACAGTCGTTGTGTATTAGGTATTTCTTTAAGCTAAAATAAGAGGACACATTATTATTAATTTTTAACATTTAATAAAATAGTGATGAGTATTCAACTAAGTATTTAAAATATTTAAAAGATTAATAAAGAACGTGATTATGGTTAAACCACGAATGGCAAAAACCGCCACAAATGAAAAAAAAAATCAATAAATAATTAAATTGAATAAATAAAACAAATTATTTAATAAATCAATAAACTGAAATAAAAATAATTGAATTGAATACAGAAAACAAATTAATTAATGAATCGATAAAATGAAATAAATAAATGAACACAATTACTTAAATAAAATAACTAAATAAATGCAGGGGGGTATAAATGGTAAAGACAGTTGACATTTG